GTAGGACAGTGTTAAGATATGACAAAATAATAATTTATAAATTATCAAGGGTTCATAAGGGAAGGGGTGGCGGGGAGGGAGGGGGAAAATGCGGAGCTGATATCAAGGGCTCAAGTAGAAAGCAAATGTTTAGAGAATGATGATGGCAACAAATGTACAAATGTGCTTGACACAATGGATGGATGGATGGATTGGTAGGAGTTGCATGAACCCCCCATAAAATGATTTTTTTTAAAAGAAACTACAGCCTATAAAAATAAAATAACCTTATTAAGATCACAAAGCAAGTACTGCAGCCAAGATTCAAACTTAGATCCAAAATGAATAATATTAATCCTGTTCCAGCACCTTAGCTATTTAAAAACAAAAACAAAACATGTCTAAGTGAATCAATGTGACCAGATAGTAGACTTGGAAGTACCAGCTTTACCACTTAATTTCTCTGAGTCAGAACCCCATTACCAAGTTGAATCAATGCCAAATTACAGCGATTGTATATAGCAGCAGCTCTCAACCTGGGGGTCGCGACCCCTTTGGGGGTCGAACGACCCTTTCACAGGGGTTGCCCGATTCATAACAGTAGCAAAATTACAGTTATAAAATATCAACGAAAATAATTTTATGGTTAGGGGTCACCACAACTTGAACTGTATTAAAGGGTTGCAGCATTAAGAACGTTGAGAACCACTGGTATATAGGGTTTCCAAGAGTGCAAATCTTTATGGGACCAGGCAGCCTCATCTCTCTTCCTAGACAGATGGGTTTGAATTACCGACTCTGTGTTTAGCAGGCCAATATTCAATCCACAGCACCACTAGGATGAGCAGTTTCTACTTCAAATTAAAGGCTATAAAAAACTCCTAATCATATCTGTTAAAAACTATGAACTCAGTAAGTGGTAAGTAGTTTCTTAGGGTGGGGGTGGGATCAGATTTCCCAGTACACATAAAAATATTTATACATGGTGTGTGTATATTGTGTTTACAATTTTTTCTCTGGAAAATTGAACTTGGAAAAATGTTAGCTAAATTCTAGTTATGAGTCTGAGCAGCTTTGTGTAGCACATGAAATGTATACAAATGTATAAAAACAAATAGGTTTTTCTGAACTATAGTACGGAAATATTAAGGCAAAAATTATGCAAATAGACTTACTTTCTTAAAATCTCAAATAACGTCATGCAGTTTGACATGGGATCTAGGCAATTCTTTACTCCTAAAAATCCTATTTGTACATGCAGAAAAATTAAGCAGGATCCATACCTCACACCACACACAAAAGCAAATGGATTAAGGATCTAAATATACAACCTAAAACCATGAAATTCTTAAAAGAAAATGCTAGCCAACACTGTCCAAGCTGGCTTTTAAGAATGGATATCAGGGCTCTCTG